AGAGAGAGAGAGAGAGAGAGAGAGAGAGAGAGAGAGAGAGAGAGAGAATGATGGAACAACAAAGCTATAGGGGCAAAAGGTGATGAGTGACTATGAGGATGTAAAAGAGAAGAAAAAGAAGAAGAAACAACAGATACGAAAATAGCGAATCGCATTGGTATTGGAGATTAACCCTCATCTTGACGAGGAGCCAGTTCGTATATAACCGTGAACTTTGGGACAGCGACAGAAAGATTATCACCGAAGTGATAAGCGACGGCCCTCTCGAACTCTCGCGCTCGTTCTCCCTCTCCCTCCCTCTCCTCCGCCGTTCCCTGTTCACGACCTGACCCCGCGCTCCGGTAACTGCCTTTCTCTCGAGAATAGTACACACAAAATGCACCCGGTGCATTGATACTTGGCGATTGCAGAATGCCGTCGCCGCCGCCACCTACTAATCAGCTGATAGCGTAAGACAAATGATTCGGCGGTCAATATAAATAATTGCCTAACGAGCACGTTATCGCGCGTGTAATCCGGCTATTTATAAACGACCGAATAATTTACGGCCGTCGCCGGGAGCAGAAATAAATTTCGTTATCGTTGAATGGCGGCGTATGGCACTTTATTTTGCGCCTGCTGGCTCGTAATATATTAGGAAAACGACCACGACGGATCGCAACGGACCGCTAGGTAAACAATTGTCACGATAACTGAGTGGCCGAGCAAAATACGCATAATTAAAAGCAAGATTACTCGGACAAGTAATCGGTAATAAGAAAGAAAAAACAGGAAAAACAAAAAGCATACATCAATACATTCACTCGCCAGAGTAATCGTATAATTAACAAACAAGAGACAGAGAGAGAGAGAGAGAGAGAGAGAGAGAGAGAGAGAAGGAAGGAAGGGAAAGGGGGAGAAAGACAGAGGAAGAAAAAGAGAGAGAGAGCTTTTGACATTTGGAAGAAAACACGCAAAAGAAAGAAGGAAGATATTCAAATGCTGGAGTCACATTTTGGACGCATGGCGAACGTTAAATATACCATTCTAATTTTTAAACTGAAACTACGTTACACATGTATAAGAAAGATAGAACTTGGAATCAAACAGCTCGGCTTAACATGTTAAACGTCGTATTAGTTGCCACCGATGGCTGCCACAATAATATTACCGCGTCTTATCAAAGTACAAGACATAATTAATTGCATCTAAAAAATTGCTTATACCGCCAACAGGACTGATATATTCTTAAATATTTTTGCACCAAAGATCCTAAATACGTTTTAAACTTAGACATATTGCAACATAACATTCTTTTTAAACATGTTCAAAGTGTTTCTTAAAAAAAATACTTAATAAAAAAATGTTGATATAATCGATTTGATTTAATGATGAAATATAAATTTCTTAATTTACATTTCTTTTACAGTGATTACAGTGCGCGCGCGCGCGTGTACGTATATATCAAATGAATGTTTTCTTCTATGGCTTATATATTTAAAACATTTCATCTTTTAAATGTGTTTTCTTTTGAATTTGTATAAAACGTTAACAGCATTTTAAAGAAGAAAATATAAAATTTTGCCTCTTTAAACGTGTTTCTTAACAATCTTAACCGCCAATAGAGAGCCAATGAAACAATGCGAGAGATATGCAATCTGTCTAATAAAAGCATAGGCGACAAAATATTTTCTAGAAATTATTATAAACGGACCATGTCGAAATAAAATAGCACTATAAAGTGCCGTAAACATAGTTCGATATCGTGTTTTTTCGCACACATATGAGAAATGAACAAAAAAGATCAGCATTTACTAAGTATTTAAGATAAAGAATGAAGTACTTTGAGAAAGTACATTTCGTAGCTTGAAATATAACGAGACATAATGACGAGACCTTTAATGACCGAAAAATATATAGAGAAAAAAAACATTTGAAGGAGGAGGGAGGGAATGATTAGGACGATATAATTTTGTTCGACAAATTTCCCTTTTGGATACTAGATACAATCAGAGTTTGACAGATCAATGATATATAAAGATTGTTATCCAAAGAATACGGTATGGTAAAACAATGTCTAGAAGATGCCAAGCAACAACGACAATTGGACGACTTATGGTTATTTCTAGTCAACTAAACGGCGGCAAACAAATATCCTCTGTTAAAATATTCTTCAATGTTTCCAAACAGTGTGATGATTGAGATGTCACGGTGACGATATACTGTGAATATTCCAATATAAACATTGAAGAACGTTTGAACGGAGAATTGACGGACTCCTGTCTGCCGGTATCTAGACGAAATTAAAAAATAACTTTTACTGATATAAAAGCGTTTTGGTACTAATGTAGCAATATTTGTGTATCTTCGCTTAATTCGTTACAATAGTTTTGAAATTATGCCGATCACTCTTTTATTAGATGGTACTGTAACATCCCGAAATACACATAACTGTAATATCTTAACTTATCTTTGGTAATTCGATCATCAATTAACTTTCTCCGTACAATGAATGGAAATAAATGGGGCACTGTTAACGTCAAACGTGTGCTCAGAATAAGCCCACAAGATAAGCCCGATGAGAACTAGACAAGGGGTTGACGCGCGTATCCGCGTTGGGACATAAGTGCGAGGAAGAGGGTGAGAAAGAAAGAGGAGAAAGCGAATGATGAAAATAAAAGAGAGACTAACATCCACTCACATGACGTCCCTCGATTCGTCCCGCTTCTCCCCCGGCATCGGCTTGCAGTACTGTTCGAGCTGTTCGTAGGTGCACGGGTGGTAACAGCACTCGTCGACGAGACCCTGGCCGTTGTCGGCCCGCGGCTCGTCGTCATCGCCATAGTACTCATTGTAGCCGCGTTCCCGGCACACGAGGTACAGTGCGTCGCTCAAACTCCTGGAGCACAGTCTCAACGTGCCGCGGAGCGATTTGTTGAGAGGCACCGAGTCGACGATGCTCAACACGCTCAGGAGGAGGAACGCTGCCAATAGCACGGTTCCCGTTTTGCTCGTGCGCTGTACCATCTTGACGTTCCCCGACCGACGATGTAGCAATTGTAATTAAAATTACAACAAAGTTCTCTTTAAGTTCCACGAGATAATTTCCTCGGGATTGTTTCTCCGTGGAAATGTCGTCGACAATGTCTCTCTGTGTCTTCGCGGATCTTCCGGAGGATATCTCCGAGGTCGTCCTCTCAGCCTCGACGTCGCAGTCTGAGGTTACTCTCAGAGAAGAAGCTACGTTTCTTCGGAAAATTCTCCTCTCTCTCTTTCTTTCGCTTGTCCGATCCTCTCGAAACATCCAAGACGAAGACCTCGCAACGTGGACGATTCGGTAGAAGTTTACGTCTTCCTCGGGAGACCTCCGCTGGTACCGAGTTCCACGGTGCCACTGGTATCGGGCCGCCTCGCCACGCGGTTCTTGTTCCAGATTTCAGGGGACCAAGGGGAGAGAGGTACGATAAGGAGGGAGAAGCGGCGGCAGAGGTAGAAAGAGGAGGAGGAAGAGCAGCAGCAGTAGTAGCAATCGCAGCAGTAGCAGCGGCCGCGGGAGCAGCAGCAGGCCGAGGAGGAGGAGGAGGAGGAGAAACTCGGTGGTAGACGGACTCCCGCCGGTTGCCACGACATGACACGATACTACGGTAGAAGGGGTCGTTAGCGGCCAGACGCGCGTCCGATGGCTCGAATTCGCTTTTTCGAGCCGACCGCGCTCGTCTCGCTCATGAAGCTGTGAAGCAGAGAGAGAGAGAGAGAGAGAGAGAGAGAGAGAGAGAGAGAGAGGGGGAGAGAGAGAGAGAGAGAGAGAGAGAGAGAGGCAGGGGACCGTGAAGATTCACCCCTTACTTCGGCAATTAGCGCGCACTTCGTAGAGTTCGCCGGCCGAAGTCCCGTAACGTATTCCTTTGTTGGCCGAACTTCGCGTTCTTCTTTTTGTGTCGGCGGGCCTGACCTGTCTGGTCCGCGAAGACCAGAGGTCGTTCTCTCTATCCCCCCTCCGCCCCCTTATCCCTTTGTTGTACAACTCCGGGTACTTCATTCTTCGTGTCTTTGCTCGCCGAAGACGACCCAACGAGCGGACAAAGCTCTTGATTTCCTTTTTTTACTCTTTTTTTATTAACAAATTTCTCTTTCTCCCTCTCCGCCTCTCTCTCTCTCTTACTCGGGCGCCCCTCGCAAGGGCGCAACGAAGGGCCCGGTCTTCTCTTCGCGCCAAGGCCAGACGCTAGACGGCTAGACGATTCCGCATTATGCTATTGTAACCGTGCCCGATGTAGCGGTTAATCGGAGGGGCTCCGGGAAGAGGAGGAAGAATGGTGAGGATTTCGTATTAGTCTCGCGGCCCCCTCGTGTTTCGAATTCACCGTTTTCTCTCAACGTTCGCTTTACGGTCTCGTCACGGTGAACGTAAATATAAATGATAGCATAACGGAATTCAGTGATACGGGACGGTTTTCCTGCGCGACTCAACACCCGCGAGCCGCAAGACTGCACGCTAAGCGCGCGCGGGGCTATTGATCTGCGTCGGTGGCGACGGCGGCGGAATGCACCTCGGGATCGAATGTAACGGAAATAGATCACGTTTCGCCGCAGCTTCGCGAACGTTGCCGTGGGCCGCTTGTATGTGTAGGTCGTGCCGCGTTACGTGCCGCGCGCCGTCCGACCGCTATCGATCACGTACGCGGCATAAGACGCGACGAACGAAAGTAGAATATAGGAAATTATCGTTACGGTTCGGCATCAATGAGACAGCCATTATCGCCGAATGACTTATCGGAGACCAACGGGGGAGCCGACGTAACAACATATCGACGTGTTAGTCGATCGGCCTGCCGGTCGGCATCGATACCCTGTGTGAGCAAAAACGCGGAAGGATCATCAGCGAGCGCAGTCCAGCGCTCCGCGATTCCGATCGGAGCCGAGACGTAGGGTGGATTCGCGGGCGCTATCGGTGGCATTTTAATTAATCACCACGCCGCCTGTTTTGTCTCAGCACCCGATAAATCGGCCGCGTTTTTCCGCACACACATACACACACATACAGATAAGGAGGCGCGCTCGACTCTCGCGATCGCGACCTCCTACCCTCGTTTCTTTTCACTTTGATCTCAGCGCTTTCGATATTTTTCAACGAATGCGCGCGTGCGTGTTCCACCCAATGACTCCCTTTTACTTATAGGATTTCCCGGCAACTGTAAACAGCGCCAATTACAATCTTCTTCTTGATCAGCGAATCTCGTTCTCGTAAACGTGGATAATGATGACTGTTTACAAGAGGGATCTGGAAAAGTTGCCAGTACGTATCGATAGTTACGTTGCCGTTCAACGTAAGTGTATGAAGTTGGCACCCCACTTTTTGAAATTTATAATTTTGAAAGGTGTTCCAGATTGTTCTAACTTTGTACCACATTGTCCCAAAATGATATTGTTTCATTCGAAACGGTTTTCGAATAAAACAAAAAAAATGATTTTTTGAGATGGCACCCCACTTTTCGAAAATCGAACATTCTGATACCGCAATAGATTGTTCTAGTTGTTCCATTGTTCCAAAAGGACAAATCCGTAAGTTGAATTATAAGTCCAAAAAATGAAAAAAATGTTTTTGATCTGGCACCCCATTTTCTGAAAATAAAGCATTCCGATACCGATATAGATTGTTCTAGTTGTTCCAAACATTGTTCCAAAAGCACAAATCAATAAGTTTAATTATAAGCCCGAAAAATTAAAAAAAAGTTTTTTGACAAACAGTCTATCGGACCAAGAGTAAACTTATACTATCTTTCTTGTTCCAATCGAGATCTTTTTGTTCTGAGTTGTTCTAGGCTTAAGAATTATAGTTCTAGAGTATGAGACTCATAAGATCATTCATTCTCCGAAAATTCGTAAAAAAATCGATTTGACAGTACTCGACGTCAAGAGTAAACACATACTTCCTTTCTTGTTCCAACCGAGATCTTTTTGTTCTGAGTTGTGCTAGGCTTAAGAATTATAGTTTTAGAGTATGAGACTCGTAGCGTCATCCGTTCTCCGAAAATTCGAAAAAAAATCGATTTGACAGCACCCGACGTCAAGAGAAAACACATGCTTCCTTTCTTGTTCCAACTGAGATCTTTTTGTTCTGAGTTATACTAGGCTTAAACGACGAAGCAATTTCACTTTATTTTGTCATGACATTTTGTAATTATTTCCGCCAATTTTCCTATAATAAAGATTAATTTTTGTAAGAAATCATCTTTTTCTTGAATTTTTGTCACCTCAGAAATATATTTCAATCATCCTTATTTTCAATCATCCAAATAATTATACTTTTTTAAATCAATATATAGAACTTTTTTTTTCAGAACATAGTTTCATCTAAAAAAAACCTGAAAATATTTTTGTTAATTTTAATATGTTGTTAAGTTATGAATTTTTTTTACGAAATTACATTTTTTGTCGATTTCGGCAAATTTAAATTGTTATTGCAAAAAATTGTTAATAAATGACTAAAGTAACTATTGGAACATAAAATATAATCTCTCTAGAGTATCCCAGAATTTTTTCAGATTTTTTAGATGAGTTTAACAAAAAAATGTTACAGGACTTAAAGGGGTCACCGTGCAAATGGCGTTAGTAAAAAACATAATGCAAACGGAGGGTTAAAAATATTTTATGTTTCTACATAAATACATATATTTACATTGCCTTTAGCTTGAACGGAAAGTTTTTTTGGCTTACGCAACAAGTCGTCATATTCAACCAACAAAAAGTTCTATATACTGATTTAAAAAAGTATAATTATTTGGATGATTGAAAATAAGGATGATTGAAATATATTTCTGAGGTGACAAAAATTCAAGAAAAAGATGATTTCTTACAAAAATTAATCTTTATTATAGGAAAATTGGCGGAAATAATTACAAAATGTCATGACAAAATAAAGTGAAATTGCTTCGTCGTTTAAGCCTAGTATAACTCAGAACAAAAAGATCTCAGTTGGAACAAGAAAGGAAGCATGTGTTTTCTCTTGACGTCGGGTGCTGTCAAATCGATTTTTTTTCGAATTTTCGGAGAACGGATGACGCTACGAGTCTCATACTCTAAAACTATAATTCTTAAGCCTAGCACAACTCAGAACAAAAAGATCTCGGTTGGAACAAGAAAGGAAGCATGTGTTTACTCTTGACGTCGAGTACTGTCAAATCGATTTTTTTACGAATTTTCGGAGAACGAATGATCTTATGAGTCTCATACTCTAGAACTATAATTCTTAAGCCTAGAACAACTCAGAACAAAAAGATCTCGGTTGGAACAAGAAAGATAGTATAAGTTTACTCTTGGTCCGATAGACTGTTTGTCAAAAAACTTTTTTTTAATTTTTCGGGCTTATAATTAAACTTATTGATTTGTGCTTTTGGAACAATGTTTGGAACAACCAGAACAATCTATATCGGTATCGGAATGCTTTATTTTCAAAAAATAGGACGCCAGGTCAAAAAAATTTTTTTCATTTTTTGGACTTATAATTCAACTTACGGATTTGTCCTTTTGGAACAATGTTTGGAACAACTAGAACAATCTATTGCGGTATCAGAATGTTCGATTTTCGAAAAGTGGGGTGCCAGCTCAAAAAATCATTTTTTTTGTTTTATTCAAAAACCGTTTCGAATGAAGCAATATCACTTTGGAACAATGTGGTACAAAGTCAGAACAACCTGGAACAACTTTCAAAATTATAAATTTCAAAAAGTGGAGTGCCAACTTCATACACTCGTTCAACGTTGACGTGGCGCGATAGTATGCTGCAAAGTGATCGGATTTCGTGTAAATATACTCGGTGCAGCAAATCTAACGGATCACCTTTTATCACCTGATTCATCGACCTGATTCACCAATTCGAAGTCGAGGGTCCGTTGTTCCAAAGTCTGCTGTGCATCACCGATATCGAGCGTGTCTTGTGCGAATGGAATATTTTCGAAATGACATTCGACTACAAGTGGAAGTTGTACCATATATATGTTTGTTGTTTCACGTAATCGTGTCCAGAACACAAAGTAGCCATAGGCAGTGCTGGTAGTTCGGGAGAATTTTCTCCCGACCGGAAACATTCTACACATGCGCAGAATGCGACGTAGCAGTCTGATGTAAACAATTTCCAATGATGGTTTTAGGCGTAGAGTGTTCATAGTATGAACTCTCTATCAGGTTGCTACGTCACTCTACGCATATGTAGATTTCCGGTCGGGAGAAAATGGAACCACGATCGCATTATATGTGCAAAGATCGAGCTGTCAGAATCTGTGGAATAGTTTACGAATAATGTGGGTATCAAATTTTACTCCGTGACGAATTAGGGGAAAATAACCAACAGTCGACACTTTAAAGACCTCGTTGGACAGGATAGCCAGTCTTGTTTCTTGAAAAAAAAAATATTATAGCGTGTCTCTTCGTTTGATCGATTTGCTTTCTCCGTTCATTAATTTTACTATAAATTG